TGAAAATAGAGTAATTGTTTGCACATGGATGCCTGTTCTTTATTTTTCATCTCACTTTAAAACAGCCATTATAAATCAATATGACAATAAGGCAGGGTGAGCATTTTTAAATATGACTTATATAATTTTAACTGTTGGACTATTACGCTAAATGCAAAAATAATGGTGCATGATAGTTTCTTTTTTTGCCATTAATATATAACATAGGACTTCAGAGAAGATGCTACTTTTTTTTATTTCAGAAAAGCGCATATGGTTGCTTCTTCTACCATGGGACAAGTTTTTTGCTTGATGGGTCTCTACCCTTTTAATTGATCATAATATATAGTTTAAATGAGCATGTATAAATTCCTTTTAGTATCTTTGCCTAACACGGTCATAATTGTCATCATTTATGCTACTGAACCCCCCCCTTTTTTACTGCATGGCAAAATGCTGTACTCAACATGTTTGTAAAGATGCTAAAATTGTGTTTGTAGCCGTGTTAGTGCATTTTTAACAACGCACTACTGTCTGTATCACATACATTACCGAGTACTGTGTGTGATACTTTTTTGTTTGCACTTAAAGTTAATTTTCCAGGACAAGCTTTCGGTTTGAGCTACTGGGCAGGACAACCACATATGCACAACAGAGCCTTGTTTAGAGCAAACGCTTAAACAATTAGACCTACCAGAGAACGCATGCGCCAGTCTGGTGGGTGCAAAATACCAGCAGTGTAACATCTTATAATTGGCTTCCAGTGCACCTTGCCCACGTTCTGAGACAAAGATTTGATAGTCTCCCATATCTGAGACCACATATCAGGTTCCAAGGTGACCCAAAAGTCCCTGGACCATTTGGCCATATAGTTATGGGTCGGTGTTGAAGAGCCAATAAAACATTTACATATAGTGTATATACAGTATATATACTATATAGTACATACAGTATATATTAAAGAAGGTTGCACCCCTGGCATGTGGGGACTCTGCACATATACATTTAAAGAAGGTAAGGGTCGCTGCAGCGGGAGGGGATGGAACAGTGGAGGGGACATAGTGTTTGATTTGAAGGTATCTGAAAATATTGGAGTTCCGGGGGTTATATTTTTGCTGCAGGTATTGGAAAGGAACCATGCCTGTAACGTTAAAGAGTTTGCAAAACCAGGTGGCACCAGCAATGACCTAGCGTTGAAGTCCAGGGGAGTTTAGGCCTTGAAGGAATGAAGGGTTTTTGAGAAAAGAGAGGAGCGTTAAATGGGTAGACACGAAGCCCCCAGAATATTTCACCACATTCCACACTTTGAGAATGTCATGTAATTGGGTTCTGCAGCATCGCTCTGTCTTTCACAGGTAACCAAAGCAAAAAGCGGTCATTATCTACTGCTTCTAGAGCCACTCCAATTGGCGTCTCAGGTGTCGGTTGATATTTTTTGAGGGTGACAAGCTGTCCTGCTTTGCAAAACCCCCAAAACCACCTATAAGTTTACCGAACTGTGTGACGATAGAGGACAGGTTGGAAAGCAAAATCGTAAAATGATCAGCAAACAGGCTCAACTCATGGTGTTGCCCAGGTATTTGCACACCCGTCATATCAGGGTTGTTTTGAATCAAGTGGGCTAACGGTCCAATGGCTAAGGTGAACATGGATGGGGATAATCTGCACCCCTGCCTACTACCGCTTCCAGTGGGAAAATAATGTGACTTAAAGCCTGCATATGTAACATGAGCTGTGGGAGTAGAGCGCCACAATCCATTTACAGAATTTAGGGCCAAAGCCTAATTTTTGGAATATATAGAGCATGTATGGCCAGAAAATGTACCCCTTAATTTTTTTTTGTCTGTGAGATCCAAATAAAAAAACTCTGCTGTGTTTCTCACTAATAGGTATGGGGATTTTTGGCTGATTTTAGCCAACCTCGCCATTACCTGTCTGGTGGTGACATTATATAGTCAGGTAAAAATGTCTGCAGGTCAGTGTAGATATAATTTTTAGAGTCATATGAAGGGTTAGGAAGAAACTGTACAAGGAGCCAATCAATTAATGTGATAACAAGAAGCATGCTGATAGCAAGAGAGAGCAGAGTGACAGAGAGATAAACTCATCACTGTGCTGCTTCTCCTTTTGTTGTCCAGTCACAGGCGGGGGCGGGTAGGGTGACCTGGGTTCAGAAGTGAGTTAAATAATGATGGCCATCAGACTGAAGACATTGAGCAGCAGAAAAATGCTGCAGGGAAAATCTCTGGATTGAAGGTAAATATTGCAATAAAAGCTGATTGTTTAAAAAAAAATCTTTATCTTTTAATGGCTTATATACACTGATTAGCCATAACATTATGACCACTGAGAGGTGAATTGAATAACATTAATTATTTTGTTACAATGGAATCTGAAATATTAGGCTGCAAGTGGACATCAGAATAAATGGGCAAGCATAAGGATTTGAGCATCTTTGACAAGGGGCAAATTGTAATGGCTAGACAACTGGGTCAGAGCAACTCCAAAACTGCAGCTCTTGTGGGATGTTCCCGGTCTGCAGTGCTCGAGACTTACCAAAAGTGGTCCAAGGAAGCAGAACTGGTGACAGGTTCATAGGCAGCATAGGCTCACTGATGCACGTAGGGAGTGAACACTGGCCCTTGTAGTCCGATCCAAATAGAAGAGCTACTGTAGCTCAAATTGCTGTTAATGCTGGTTCCGATAGAAAGGTGTCTGAACACAGAGTGCATTGCAGTTTGTTGCATATGGGGCTGCGTCAGGGTGCCCATGCTGACCGCAAAAAGTGCCCAGAGTGGGCACTTGAGCATCATAACTGGACCAGAGAGCATGGAAGAAGGTAGCCTCCAAATTCTCCAGATCTCAATCCAATCGAGCATCTGTGGTATGTGCTGGAAAAATCCATGAAGCCCCACCTCAGAACTTACAGGACGTAAAGGATCTGCTACTGATGGCTAGGTGCCAGATGCCACAGCATACCTTTTAGAGGTCTTTTAGAGTCCATGCCTTGGCGAGTCAGGACTGGTTGATTGCAAAAGAAGGACTTACTCAGTATTAAGCGGGTGGTGATAATGTTTTGGCTGATCAGTGTATTTTATCTTGTTTTATATTGGAGTTCTGTTTTAAACAGTTGTCACTTGTTTGTCTCAGCATAACAGTAGTGTCAGCGCTTGGAACTACAATTCCTTGTTGGAGATAATGGACACTACTGGTTTGCTATGGCATGCCTTGTACGAAAACTATCATTTCTCTTGTGCATATGAACATTTAAAAAAAAGAACTTAAAAAGACCCTCTGCTTTCTCTTCCCAGCATATTACATAATCTTATTGAGGAGGTTACAAACTTTATTCCACAGTAATTGCAATGTAGAGTTTCTAGCCATCTTACTGTCCTTTAAGACTTTATGGAGAAAAAGGGGGCTGCGAAAACATTGTATTGTTTGGCCTATTTTTTTTTTTTTTACTTTGTGTGCTTGTCAGTGAAAAGGTTTTCTTAAATTGCTTAGCTAAGTGATGTGCTCTTCCTTTGGTATTTTAGCAGTGTGTCCTAATTCCCAGACAAAATGGCTCTGCACAATTGGAGTAAATGATTACATGTTGGTCCTAGTTTGTCTCCTGTGTGAGGGGCTACAGAGGACACATGCCTTTTGTGCGTCTGTATTTGGTTGCCCACAGCTGCTTTGTATACTCGACACCTGTTGTCAATCACCATTTCAGAACATTATCTTCTAGCTTCAGTGTTTGCCTGATTATGTTTTATTGCAAATAACTACTATAATAGAATGTGTTCAGGATGTGATGTGTGTTTATTATTATCTTCATACTGTTTCTGGAGCCGGGGAAGCAAAAATGTTAACAAGTTTTACATTGATGGAGACTTCTTCAGTATTCTTACGACCCCGTTAGGAAAACTTATAAGTTCACATAAAGTATTGCAGATTTCTTGTTTAATCTCCATTGTACTGCATATAGGAAATTACAAGTGAATTGAAAGCCACACTTTTTTTGTGGGCTTCATGTCTCTTTTGGGTTACCCAACTACATTTACTAATGTACTCCTGTGACCCACAGTCAGTATATAGTGGTCTACTGCCCCCAATATGCTGACAGCAGAGAGGCACTCTTCAGCCGGGAAGAATTCCAACATTATTGTCAGGATCCACCCAGCTGATTGATTGACAGCTGTCTCTGTCTCTAGAGCCAGTGCCCACCATCTCCCCTGTCTGTCCCTCCAGTGAGCACTGGAAGAAGATAGAGGAGAATCCCTGGGGGGAGCGGTGACTGACAGTGTGAATATATGTGAGTGAGTGTGTCACAATGTGACAACACAGAAGCACAGTTTGAACATTGTCACCCTATAAAAGCAGGTGTCTGCACAAGGATCATTAAGGCAAGGTCACTAGGTATTTTGTTATGAAAGCTACAGAATTCAAAATATTGAAAATTATGTTTGAAAATACCTCTACACGTTAAAGTTTATATGAGATTGTAGGGATTGAGTTGATCAATAATTCTAATAAAACTGTCTAGTGACCGACACCCTGAACTTTTTGGGTTCCTGCATTCTCAACCATATCATGCTGGTTGGCAACACAGCTTACATAAAGCAGAAAATGAACTTGTATTGTAGGAGCGGAGTGGTTTTTCATTCTTCATGGATACATTAATAGATATGACAATTGGAGAAGGAGGAGTTGTGTAATGCAGGTACCAATTTTGTTAAGGTCAACATGTACTTGACTATAAAGCACCTCACACATTACAAGATGATTGTACAATCTCCTTTGGATCTACCAACATGCTTGGATACAAATTGATTGGATAGTTTGGGTAGGTCCTCATATCACATAGTTTTGGTAGATCTTAAGACAATTGTTCAGAGACTGTATGGTCAATTATGTGACATTAAGCTGTCTGGCACACAGATGAAGAAGTGCTTATTAGCCTTTTGTGTATTTGTATTTGTTCATTCAATGTGATATCAAGCATGAATATTAAATGTGTGTTTTATTTATCTTAGCACAAGCCAGCCTTTCTGCTGTGTGGATTTGTACTCTCTACGGACCGGTGAGATGGTGAAGTCCATTCAGTTTAAAACTCCAATATACGACTTGCATTGCAATCAGAGGTATGATTTTTTTTCTTACTAGTATTTAATGTCAGATAAAAGTGAAGGTGCACACTGGATTTGCTAAACAAATAGAGGTCATGACAAGGAGGTAAGCATACCTCCCAACTTTTTATGATGAGAAAGAGGGGCACATTTCAGCACAATGTATTTAGGAAAGGGACACATCCCTGCCATGCCCCCAGTTTTCAGGACTATTTACATTTATATGCCAAAAATCATTGGTTAAAGCCAGAACTTGTATTTTTCATGATTACTTTACTTTTATACTGGCTTTTAGACATGGAAAACAATATAATTAAGGTGTATTTGTTCATCGCACCAAATAGAGGGACAACTAAGGAGGAAAGAGGGGCAGAGGGATTTGGTACAGCATGAGGGACAGTCCTTTCATATGATGGGCAGTTGGGAGTTATGGGGAAGGCGTTTATAATCGCCTCTTGGGGGAACCAAGAGCTAGGGAATAAAACTTCCTTATTTAAAGGAATCCCATCATAACATAAATGCAGAGGCTCTTATCCTTTTGTTAGATGACTGGCTTTCATAATCACTCTCTGCTTTGAGTCAGTAAATAATCAGGAAATATGTCACTGGGCTAACCTGCGGAATGCTTGTTCTGAGCTTGTGACCCCGGAAGTACTGAAGCCAAAATCAGACAGGTACCTAGCATTTTCTAAAGGAGATTAGCAATAACAACCCTGTATTGCTCTCATGACTTTAGTTTTCCATTGAAGAAGCCATAGATATTAGATAATACTACTCCAAGCCACTTAAAATCCAGCATAACGATAATTCTTAAGCTAGTCATGAATGCTCAACAAGAGAAATCTTATAGATTCCCTCATCCACGCTAAACAGCATGGATGGAGGAATCTCCCCTGCCAGCTATTGCATTCAGGCAGACAGCATCCGCAGCTGGATGCAGTCATTGTTTGCCCAACCATGTTATGCCCAGCGGTTTAGATTTTTGAGACAAGTGGTACCAACAGGCCCACCCATGGCTCCAATTTCATCCAATTTTGGTTGACTGGGCAGTTGGGTAGGCTTTTGGTTGACTGGGCAGTTGGGTGATTTAGGCGCGGTGGATTCTCAAGGCTGAATGTTTTTCTCAGATAACTGTTAGGTAAGCAGTAGTGGTGATGTCTTTTGGCTTTAGAGTTTTTCAGTTTTTTTTTCTGTTCTTGTAATATTTTGTGGCACCTGCAGAGAACTATCCATTTAATTTGATAGGTAGCTTTTGAAGCTATCCTTCCTTCGGCAATCTTCTGCATCTTGTATTTAATTGAAAATTGAACGGACAACCCTTCTTAAACCAGTCCACATATTCAGCGAATTTACGTTGACAAATGAAAACGAAATAAAATTGGGAGTTGAACTTCCGGTTCCTTTAGTTCTTTCTCTTCCTGTAGTAGGCAGAAGTGCACAACTGAATAATAGCCTACTGATCTACCCAGCGGGATACCAGGTAGCAAATACTTGCTGCACAAACTGTACAGACATGTCAATGTCAGGGAGAAAGAGAAGAGCAGATGTATTGATGCATTTTATATTTTATGCTAATGAGAACCAGACCCTTTGTAAACCATGTGGAGCGACAATTGCTGGTAAAAACACGACAAACTTGAAGCGACATTTGCAGATTACTCATCCCAAAATTCATGCAAAGGTAAGCACAGCACACTCATATCCTCATGGAAATGGCTGTCTCTGTGCTGTGCAAGCATAAATCTGTGTCTGTAGAACATGTTCATACCTTAATATCACAAGTAATAACAGGTTAATAGAGGTTTACTCCAGGAATATAGAATAACTTTGGAAACTCTAGAAAATGTTTTTTAAATAATGCATTACACGTTAAATAAACCCATTAGATTTTAGTCAACTAAAACTATTCAGATGACTAAAATACGACTAAAACTAAAATGGCATTTGAGTCAAAAGACTAAAACTAAGACTAAAATGAAATTTGCAGTCAAAATTAACACTGCATATAACAAGCTTGAAGCAATATCTGTTAAAGCAAGATGATGCAAAACATGCAATCAATGCAGAGTAGGTAGCAGCAGAACAATAGCAATTTTACCACTTTTGTATTTAAAGTACAAGACTATTTTTTTAGTTTTGGATGGCATCAGGAAGGGTTAAAACCCCAGTTTGGTTTATTTTGTCATCTTTGTCCTATTACGGATATCTCCCTTTGCTTTCTGTCCTGCAGGCACAACCTAAGAGGAGATCTTTGCAAAGTGACTTAAATTCCCTCTTAGATAGTCGTCAGTGAAAGAAGTGTCCCCATGGGAAGATTTCTCTCTCTTTCTGTTTTGAAGACAATTTGGAATTGTGGGTTTACCCACTTTCAGTTACAATGACAGTTTTAAAAGTTTTTGCTTTAATTACATATTAAATCTCCAACACTTTTGTGGAGCCCTACCTCCCAGCCACACAGATCCAAACCTATCAACACTATCCTATGTCTGGATACTTCAGGATTGTTCAGCATGGCAGCACCCTATTTAATTTGCTGTTTAACTGTAATATTGATTTGGAGATTTCCCAATTTAGTGAAAATGTATTACTTTGTGAAATTAGTGAATTGTTCCTTATCTTCTCCAGTGTAGGAGGTAAAAAAATGTAATGCAAAACTGATTGAAGAACTATCATCTCTCATTAAATAAAAATATGGGCCTCAGCACTTAATTATAAGTGCATCTGTACTTGCAGTTTTATGTTAGTTCCCTTGCAAAGTCCCACAAATACCTGTTGATCCTGCCAGTGAAGTCCAACTAATGCAGCTTGCTGTTAAAGGGTTGGCAATAATGCTGCACTGCTGCTGAATTTAGGGCAGAGTTGCCACTCTCATGTAGGCTAGTCCGATGTTGTGCATTTATGCCACTGCATTGCGGTAGGAGCGCAGTGGTGTGCTGGCAGCAGGATGCGATACAACCTCCTCACACCCCACTGTGCCCATGAATTCAATGTCACTGGTGGCATTTCAATCAAGTTCTAAAAAAAAAAAAGTACACAGTGCGATGCGCGGGGATCAGCACTTCGGCAATGTGCTGGGGCACCGCACACCAGACCCTGTGCAATTAGCGCAGCATCTAGTGTGAATGGACCCAAACAGGATTTGGGACTTGTTTAGACTGTCATACCTGAGCATCTAGGTGTATTTTCAACATTCCTGTGTATTTTAAAATAGTTTGGGTCCACATATGATCTCTTGTAGTAAGCAATTACATTGTAGAAGAGTTTACCTTATGTAAAGTTCTAGCTAGGAGGCAGATTTGTGGCTTCTAGTGACAAATGGGTCATCGCATGTCTTTTACAAAAAAAAATTCTCACTGTCACTATATTAGCCTTACAAATCGTGTTAACAATCCTGTGTTCCACAAGCCATAAGCCCTAAGCCACTGAGCTATGCTACACAATAGAATTTTAATCACTGTTTAGTGGAATGATGTCCTTCCATCATCCAATACAGCAATGTAATCTCCTCATATAAGCCTCGGGCAATTAATTTCGCACACACACTTTAATGGATGTAGGCGATTAATCTTCTGCAGTTCTATGCAGGAAATGCTCATTATAAATACAGAGTACAGCATGCAATTTTTTTTTCTTTTTATTTGGGTGATTAAACTCGTGAGATTAATTGCATAAAATCACAACATAGCCTCACAAATGGAAATTGTTTTTGTAACCTGGGCCTGTTTTCAGCCTTGTTCATTAACCACATAACAATACACTTTCATACTCCTATTATTTTTTAATATTGTGCTTTAAAGAGCAATCCCAGGCAACAAGAAAAACAAATCAATGAACTTCCAATGGTACTTACTTAGCAAACATCATAGCTGTAATAAATTCAGAAAGTCCACTTAGTTTACCTTGATCTGAGTTCTATTTAATCTGCTGAAGCGACATTCCAGGGAGCTTCTCACATGTTGGAAAGATCTGTGCAATATGGGTCTCCACACTTTGACCTCTGAACCTTTGTTTATTATAACTACCTTAATCTATCCTGTGCTGCCAAGATAATACTTGGATTCAACAATGCAAAAATTGCCCAGCACACATCAACTAGTCAGCAAAAAAAAAAAATCATCACATGGAAGCCACACTGCCTTGTCAAGACCCGTTTGTGAAGTGTGGTTCCTCATTCATAGACTATATTGCCAAAAGTATTGGGACACCCCTCCAAATCATTGGATTTAGGTGTTCCGTGAAATTTCCTTGCTGCTAAATATTCCACGGTCACCTGTTAGTGGTATTGTAACAAAGTGGAAGCAACTGGGAATAAACAGCAACTCAGCCACAAAGTGGTAGGCCACGTAAAATGACAGAGCGGGGTCAGCGCATGCTGAAGGGCACAGTGCACAGAAGTCGCCAACTGTCTGCAGAGTCAATAGCTACAGACCTCCAAACTTTGTGTGGCCTTCAGATTGGCACAACAGCAGTGTGCGTAGAGAGCTTCATGGAATGGGTTTTCATTACTGAGCAGCTGCATCCAAGCGTTACATCACCAAGAGCAATGCAAAGCGTCGGATGCAGTGGTGTAAAGCACGCCACCACTGGACTCTAGAGAAGTGGAGACGTGTTCTCTGGAGTGATGAATCACGCCTCTCTGGAAATCTGATGGACGTGTCTGGGTTTGGCGGTTGCCAGGAGAACGGTACTTGCCTGACTGCATTGTGCCAAGTGTAAAGTTTGGTGGAGGGGGGATTATGGTGTGGGGTTGTTTTTCAGGGGTTGGGCTTGGCCCGTAGTTGCAGTGAAGGGAACTCAGCATACCTAGACATTTTGGACAATTTCATGCTCCCACCATTGTGGGAACATTTTGGGAATGGCCCCTTCCTGTTCCAACATGACTGCGCACCAGTGCACAAAGCAAGGTCCATAAAGACATGGATGAGAAAGTTTGGGGTGGAGGAACTTGACTAGTCTACACAGAGTAATTACCTCAACCCAATAGAACACCTTTGGCATGAATTAGAGCGGAGACT